GGCAGAGTGTTAACACAATGCCCCAGCAGAGYTTTTCTGTCTCTAATTTCAACAATTATGTTGTTACTGGATCAGTGAAGAGAACCATGAAAAACACAATTACCAGGAAGCCCTGTTCCTCTCCTGGCCCCTTTGTCTCCCTTGGAATGGGGCATGTGACTCACGGAGCAATAGAGGACCAGCTGTAATCACACGCACCACCGAAAAGGGTGCTGTTCCCGATGGGACCCAAGCGTGGGAAAGCCTGACTGCTGGCTGCAAGGGCCAGTCACGTCATGTTTTGCAGCTGGCATCCAAATGCACCCTGATGAATCAAGTGAGAGCAGCTACCTTCTCCTGCCACAGCGGTGGCCAAGCAGCCGTGCAGAAGAGGGGCTGTCAAAACTTCCCTGCATGCAAAAGTCCAGGGAAGGGATGATGTTGTGAATGAGCTTACTGGGACAGCACAGCAGTGTTTTATAGGTGACTGGCATGGAATCAGACTAAAGGGRAAGGGGATGAGTACATTTCAGCTGAGTGCTGGTCCCAGGTTTGCTCAGTGCAGGACCTTGGCTAGTGGGRATGACCCGACCCTGTTACATGATGTGTGGTGGGAAAAGAGAAATTCACTTGCTCTCTGCACTCCAAGGCATGTACAAACCAATGGCCTCAACAACAAATACCAGGAGCAGCAGAGCAGCCAATATTTTTATCATTAATTGCTATCAAAAATGTCAGCTCAAAGTCATCAGATTTGATAGGTGAGCATGCTCCAAATTGACAGCTGAAGTGAATTATTTGCCTATTGCGTGAAGCAAAAACAATGTCTTGCAGGAGAGAACAGTCATTGGCAAACAAACCGACAAGATATGCTTCTGGGGAAGGCTTCTGATTTGATCTGGAAGGAAATAGTGAATATAAATAGGAATAAAGTTTACCTGCATGAAAGGCGGGGTTGAGCCATAGCATGGACTTCATTATTCTGCTGGAGAACAGCATGAAAACATACCTGGAATTTTACTCCCTCATTACAAAAAGGTACCAGACACCCTCAGAAAGGTTTTTAAGTAATAAAGCATTGTTCCACCTCATCCCTAGTGCATCCATTTGTCTGTGACTAACAAGCACATAAATTCCAGCATGTGCAGAAAAATCCCTKCATCTCAGTGTTTAGCAGAATTTTCCCTACCCATGAATCTGTAACACAAATCTTTCTGGTCCTTCAGTGCTGAGGGTCTAAGCATGGGCAGCCAGTACATGGTGCAGCACTGGCACACTATTAATGTAACTACTAGGTACTACAAATTGAATCAGGACCTGTTTAAATATCGGTATGAACATGAACATCATCCAGGACATGTTTGTGTGGGATTTGGTGACTGTCTTTATTTCACACAATGGGAAAAACCCCATCTGGAAGCAGGATTCCAGCAAAGGGAAAGTTAGCTATGCCTGCCAGGGATCTCTTTTGCCCCCCCCAAAATTCAGACATCACGGGACATAAGCAGAAAATGAAAGGGAACCAGTGAGGGTAAAACCAAGCAGTCTGGGGTCTTCTTGCCACTTCTTTTGAAGTCCCCAGTGTAACTCCTGGCATCTTCAGTGGGGTTTGGCTGGGCTCCTGGCAGAAGTGCCTTTGAAGATTTCACTAAGGCTCAAGGCCTTGATCACAGCAACTTTTATGCCTGTGAGCAACTCTGTGCAGATGAACACTTCCAGGGTGCTCAGCAGGATGCTTCGGATGAGACTTTGCAGGGCTGGTCTTAAGCAATGAGAGCTTAAGAGAAACATTCTGCTTGTTGCTTTTATCCTTGGCCACATCAAACAAAATGCCCTGGCAGTTCTGGAAGAACGAATTTGCATTGAAAACCCACAGCTCTTACAAGCAGTGCATTAATTATTTTATTAATTTGCTCTTTTTACATTATGGGAAACATTCATCTATTTACATTTTCCTGTCCACACACAAACCAGATAGATAATCCTATGGAAACCCAAATCGTTAAGCCATAAAAACACTCTCCTCTGTCTGAACGCTTTCAAATTTGTGTCTTTTGTTTCAAATCAAAAACATTTTTAAAATCACATTTGGGAATGCAGGTAGGCCAGTGATTTACATTCTACTTAAAATATGCATTTGACCATTTTCCTTAAAAAGAAAAAAAACCCAACCAAAAAACCCCAATAAATTCACAAAGATACAGTTTAAATTAAAGTGATAGTGCACATCAAAGCATTAAGGGAACACCAATAAATAAACTGAAATATATTACAAATAAATTATTTCTATTTACCTTTTCAAATATTAAAAATCTTTAATCCATTTCTTCATCTTTCTTTACAAAAAGATTATGAGAATTTTATGGAAACATCTGCAAAAAATATAATAAATACCTCTTTTTTTTTTTTAACTTTTGAAGCAGGAGACAAAACCAACCTTTTCTAAAATTTCCCCCAAGAAAAAAAAAAAAGCAGTAGTTTAGTCTCAAAGTGAAACAGAATATAGGTATTTTTCATATACACTGGGCAGGTTAGACTAAAAACAAATAGTTACAGATTATACTAAAACAGATTATGGAGCAAATATACTAGCATTAGTGTTGGTAAATGAGTCAAGTGGTTAACTAGTGGCATTCTAGGGCAGAATTATTTTATTTTATATTTTCTGATATTGGCTGTATTTTTTGTATTTTGCTAAAAAACTAGGCAAACATTATAATAACCTCTCCAGTGCCAAATGAGCTAACAAGCATTCAGCTAAGAATAAATTCATTTAAAATAGATACAAAAAATATTCTATGATATACAAATACAATAATTTGTAATGTACAAGACTAGATAGTCTTCACTTTTCTGCTTTTTTGGGGGGGAACTTGCTGGATATAAATTTCTGTAGCCACTTGTCAACCAAAGCCTTAACTCATCTTTCATAAAACGTTCACAAAACTAAGTAAGTCTGCGACACAGTTGTGAATGTGGACTCTCACCTAGGTACTGCTTTGAATACTTCAGTACAAATGAGTTCCAAATAATTAATACTTCCTATGACTATATATGCTCAAAAGTGGCAGTTGGCACTATTACATACTGCAAACACGGTGATGTTCTGTTGCTGCTAAAAGTTAAAACGCAGTGTTTCAAAACTAGCAAACACACTGGTATTCAAACGCTTAGAGGGTCAAACCTTTTGAAGCTCCYGTAACACCAAGCACTCTAGAGTTACACTGGATTTCTGATTACTCTAGTTAAAAGTCTTTTATATATTAAATTATTAGCCCTTATCTTGTAAACCACAGCAGTAAATATTTGTGCCCTGTTTATAAAGACATAGCTCAGATATCGATGGCTTTGAGAGGTAGCAAATTCTCTAGTGGTTTTAGTATGCTCTCATGAAAATACTTGGTGCCAGAACCTATTACCTCTCCTATTTTCTTGAATAAAATTAAATTAGCACCTGGCTATGATGTCATAGGAAAAGAAGCTGTCTGGCATGGTCTCGATGAATAGTTTTAGCAAGAGCTTAACTTTTCGATGATGGTTTTCAAYGCTTTTTAAGTGCAAGCTGCAGAATTACACCACATGTGCAGTGGGATTTTTCACTGCTTGGACTGTCCACACAGGTTGAGCAGGCACAGGCACAGCCAGCCAGCACAGTGTGCGACAAGGGCTGCCCCCTGTGCCCGTCCCTGGTGGGGCTGTCCCTGTGCCTGTGCTCMCTGGGAGCAGAAAGCAGCCTGCCTTCCTCTCCCACAAACCCCTGCCCTGGCACACGGGGTGATGAGCACATAGGGAGCAGCGGAGCAGTCTGGAAAACATCGCTGCAGGACTGCACAGGAGCTGCCCGCACCAGTCCTGTCACCCAAAGCAGCCCTGTCACCCAAAGCAGCTCACGCTAATTCTGCTGGCAGCAGCACATGCCAGTTAGGCACGCGTGTGCGCACTCACACACGCTCACACGCACGCACACAACTCGCTTTCAGCAACATGCCTGACATAGCTTTCCTAATGTTGGCACAAGAGATTCCAGTAGCAGCGTGGTCGGCATTGTTCCTCATCAGAGGAGCTGGAGGACGAGCCCCTGCCCCAGCCAGAGGTGGCTGGAGGGGACAGACACACCGGAGCTGACCTCTCAGGCTCCTCTCCAGCCCTATTATCTGCCATTTCCGCCCACTGTTAATGAGCTACTTGGGATGCATATTTTTTGTGATTGCAAAACAATGGCAGAAGCCAGGGTAGGAAGGCTTGTCGTGAAAAACATTAAGTTCATATTGATTCCGTAACTTGTGAAAAATAGTCTATTGTTCTTGTTCAAGTGAGTACTTTATACTATTAAGAGGAGGCTGAATTMGAAATTTACTCCTAAATATGGACGGTTTGGTGATAAGTAGTCTGAACTGTAGCATACAACCAGCTGTGGATAGAGCAAAGCAAGCCTGGCCTGGAAAAGCATCAGAGGCTCCATGTACAGTAATTCACCTACAGGTGTCCGTGTGTGGCTGCGTGGACGTATGAGATTGGATGGTCCCACCGAGATTAAGACATCGACAAAACCAAGCTTTTTTTTCTTTTTTTTTCTTTTTTCTTTTTTTTTTTTTTTAAACCAATATAATCCATACAATACAATACAAGAGGAATTGACAATACAGTACAATTTTAAAAATTCTTAATACTTGGACAAGAAAATCYTTCTTTTATATTATCTCTTCAACTGTCATTGCTTCTTATCTCCTTCCTTTTTACTCTTTTATTGCCTTTCAAAATAGATTATTTCCCTGGAAGATCGAATTTACAATCTTCTGCTGATTTGAAATGTTTAAGTAGTGATTGATGAAATAAAAATGAGGCAGTTTGTGCAGCTGTGAGTGTGCAGGTATCTTTCCACAGGATCTTTTATATCCCTCGCCATCTGACCCGTGGGATTTACTTCCACTTTTTCACCTGCCAGAGCTGTGGGGTTTTTTTTTCTTCCCCTCCACCCCCCTGCTCCCACTCCAGCTCCCTCCCCTTGTGTGACTCCTTAATTCAGGTGAAGATGTGATTCGGAGGTTTAGAATAAAGTGCGCCATCTGCTTTAAAAAAAAACAGTAATAAAAAGAAGGGAATCCGAGTCATAGCTCCTTTTATCTTTTGTGAGGAAGACAGCAGAGTCCGAAAGGATCACCCTGCGTGACTGAAAATACCAAAGTCCCCTACAGTTTGATGTTGCTGTACACTGGGTAACAGACTAGTTTTAGGTCAACTAAAGATCGTGAGTAAGTTAAATGGAGCGTCTACTGTACAGGTGCRTGGAAGTCTGAGCGCCGCGTTTATTTGTTTCGAACAGAAAAGAAAAAAGGATCGTACTCGTTTACATGAGGCAAAGTGGCAGCATCAGTACATGTGACAAAGCATCGTGATGACATGGGCGAACCTTCAGAAAGCAAGGGTGGTTAGAGGACATCTCTCGGAGGACCGACAACTACGCCACGGCAGTGGAGTTCACTGGGAGCATCGGGGCAGCTGCGTACAGAGAGAGGGGAGGGGGACAAGAGGGGAGAGAGAGCGAGAGAGAGAGGAGGAGGTACAAATACTTCGTGGTGACCTTGAGCAGGAGCCTAGARGGGCAGATTATACATGAGGCTTGTCTTGCCAGAGAGAGTCCTCCCGGTTGGATCCCTTCATAGCCTGGTCTGGGCTTCGGGGATGTATATCTCAATGCTTTCGGCGCTCTCGGTAGCTGAGTTCTGGCGGACCGATGCAGCGCGCTTGGCAGCCATCAGCCGTTTCCGGGCCTCTTGACGCTGCGAGCTTTCCAGAGAGCGTTCTCGTATGAGTGGCACCTGACCTTTCGATGGCTTCTTTGGCACTGGAGGAGGGACCCTTCTCTCCTGATCAAAGCAGAAGGTTAATGGCATTATACAGCTTCTCAGCGAAAGGCGGGAAAAACTAGGATATGTCAGTAGTTAGAACACACATTTTACCTAATGTTTGTTAGCTCTTATCTGCCTTTCTGTCTTCAGTCAACTGGCTTTTGTGCTCAAGGGTTCATAAACATAGGGCAGGGGCAAAGGGGAGGGGAGGGCCGGCCGCCGTGCTACTTCTCCTCRGGGACGGTGCTGCTGGGGCTACCTGCTTAGTTCCAGGGGCTAGGAAAGAGACCGAGCTCCCGCCACCGGCACACCGGGAGGGAACGCTGCCCTCAGCAGAGGGACTCTGGAGAGCCCCAGCTCCTGGGCCACCCTCTTCTATCCGTGCATAGCGCTAGATGCTCCTGCAACACGGAGGTGCCATGGCTTTGGCRTTCCCAATTGCGGATGGGAACTAGCTGTCTGCAGCTGGTGCATCAGGAAAAGTAGTTTGTTTTTTTTTTTTTTAAAACATATATTTGTGTACCTATTTCGTAGCAGTTTAGTGACTGCTCAAAAATCCCACACTTTGGGTCTCGCTGTGCAAGCTCATACAGTCCTGCCTCGTGCTAAATAGGCATGAAATATTCAGCTAGAAATAGAAAATCTGGTTGGAAAAACTTAAAAACCGTTAAGAGAACATGCATTAATCATCGTGGTGGCAGCTGGCTCCAGATACGTGACCAACAAGGAGGACTTTTAGTATATCCTGGTGCATGTACACACACTTACACACAAAAAAAGAAAAAAAAACCCAACAAAAAAAAACCCTCAGAGAGGGATCTCTCCCGCAAAAGAAAAGTGTATTCAGAACTGAATTTCAGGCGGCCACAAAGACTTTGTCAAGTTAATTAGATTGTCTTTTAAGTTACATCCCCTTCCAACTGTGAACACGGTCTCTGAGCGAAGGGATTTTATCACACTACAAAGGTCCCATTCTGCCCTTTCGTTTTCTCTCATGCTGCTCACAACAGCTTCCATGGCTCAAAATATAAAGGTGCTTAGTTACACTTATTCATACTTTGCTTTTTCTCTCCATCCAAGGATTAATCTATGCTGCTTAAAAAGGGCCCAGTGGCAAAGGCCAAAGGCAAATATCAATTCCACAGAAAGTTTTTTCTTCCTTTTTCTTGTTTTTTTTTTATTCTTTTTAAGAAAGGAGATGATCTCTTTCATCTAAAATCATACACAAATGCTGTTGAAGCAAGAACACAGTGTAATTCTTTAAAATCTTTACCTTCCTACTGYAGGTCCCTTTCTTCAGCACTACTTAACTTCCTTTAAACCGTTATAGTCTTCTTTTTGTTGGAAACTCTTTGAAATGTTTTTCAGATGCAAAGAAAAGGCACATTTTTTTTAAGGAAGCCTCTCATTTCTTACTGCTGCAATTGCAAACACTCAGCCTACCCACTTTACTGTAAAAGCTAATGAAAAACCATACATCAGCATTTCTGTGCATGCATGTTTGGCAGTTTTAACCTCCTTTTCTGATAGATACTGGAAAAAAAAAGAAGATAAGAAAATGACTTGCCTTCAGTACCTTGGGCTAGGAAAACACATTCTCATTCATTCCCCTACAAAACACTCTAGGTTTGCACAAATGGTGTGAACATGGCACTCCTAAGTCAGGAATGAGTATTTAGTCTTGATTGGAGGAGGAGGAATAGTGCTACCAGCACTGCCTGTACAAGCTTCCTGCTGCAAGATTAATGGGGTTTGATATTATTATGGTTATTTGTCCAAAAGAAAACACCACCTTGGTCATTGGCAGCCAGCTGAAGGTAAGTTGGGGTAGCCAGGACTCCTGTCTGAGCCACTGTACCTGTAAGTGACAGTCCCCCTCCTTCTGGTGACCCTACCTGTTGGYTGTACTCATTGCTATCAGACCAGTCACGGCGGAAATTCAGCCATCAAATTACATACCCATAGGAGCACGACATTAGACCGTTGATTCCTCTAGGAAYGGGCCTGTGTTCTAAGGATTTTCTGAAACATTTGTGCATTTTTTGGCTCACCCAAGYGCTGTTTGTCTTGAGGTGGATAGTGAGGAGAAAAAAAAAGGCGATGGTGCCAAATGAGAATGTAAAGTGAAATGCGGCTCACACTTGGAGATGTGGTAGCTTTTCATGGTGTCAGAAGAAAAGTACATTTACCAAAAGAAAAGAAAAAGAAAAAAAAAAGATAAAAAAAAGAAAAAAAGAAGAGGACTAAAGCTCCAGATGATTTTTATGCTACCTTGAGTAAACAACACTACCAGCAAAGTGAATGTGTGAAATCACCCATTTAAAAAAAAGCCCAAAATAAATAAAAACCAAACAAATGGACAAAAAAAAAATGTAATTCTTCCATGTAACATTTTGGAAGGCATATTTCTGATATTGCTGTTTGTATTCTGGCTACCAAAGTCAGCGATGGTTACAGTACTTCCCTGTTTTTTTCAGTAACACAACCTAGAACTCTTGCTGTATGCAATAATATGAACCGTAAATGTGATTTATTTAATTTAAGAATCAATATATAAGGCAGTTCCTTTCAACGATTGATCGTCTAATATGATTAAATGTAAAGCTTAACAAAGTACCACATTCCCATTATCCGATTCACAAAGACAGATTTGGTTTAAAAATATGCCTGAAACATATTACAGATAATATCCCAGATGATTATTATGTAAACATTGTTATTACAATGAAATTAATTAGATAGGAGMTTCATTTCACACTTTTAGCGTCAACGCTGTAACACAGAGGCCTATTTAATCTGTCCAGTATTTGTGCAGGGTTTTAAATGAAGCATACAAAATCTACAGTGTTCTACCTTCTTGTCATGAGGATCCATCTGTTTCCAATTATTGGCCTTTAACTGATGAAGTTCATCAAATTTCATACTAATATTTTCTATGGACAACTGCAGCATATCCCAAAACCCTGCTAAATCCTGGGAGGTCGGCCGTGGATGTGCATTAGGATTCTGTGCAACAGAAGAAAAAAACACGTTGGCTTTAGTACTTCTTAATGTAAAGCATTTGTGCAAATGGTTATGAATCTCCCCAGCAAAGCAGTTTGGGGAGATCCAAGGGATGGATAAGACCCAGAGAGAGGAGCAAAGCGAGGCGTTACTTACTGGAGGGTTTTATTGCAGGAGTCTGGCTCGGCGTGGAGCTGCTGTCCCTGCAAACACCCACTCACCAAAGACAGAGGGGACCCCCCACAGACCAGGGACAAAGGGCCCCTGTGGCAGGATCTGCCCGGGGATGTTCCTGGGCACAACTGGTGGCAATTCTGTCTGCACTGACATGAATTGCCATCCTCCTCTTCACTTTCAGGAGGAAGGATTCCCCACCATGTTCACACTTGTAAAAAAGAGTGATGCCTGTGCAAAAGTACATTTCCTGCATGTGCAAGTAGCAATATACTGACTTATGAACACTTTTTCCACACTCTGAGAATGTAAGGTTTACAAAAATACACCATTTCAAGTAAAATTGTCTCAGGCCAATT